GAGCGTTCTTTAATTCTTATTTGCTTATTTCCATGAGTCCTTCTGTCTAGCTGCAATTTGATCCCCTAAAAGTAGATGGTGGACGAGATCTCTCTATGGATGCTACACCCGCGGCAGAGCTGCAATTTGATGCAAGCAAGATGCGTACATTTTATTCTGGTATGCACATCTTCCTTCTTCCAGACGCCAGCAAACTTGATGGCAACCCCCCCGCAGTGGACGCTTGCTCCCCAACCATCGATGAGCTATTGGATCGAATCTTTCCTCCTGTTCGCTTCACGTCGCCCGATGGCACTCGTAATTGCCAGGTAGGTTTTTTGTTCACAAAGCATCAGAGATGCGCGCTTTCTAGGCTGTCAGTCGAACTCCAGGCACTCGTCTTGATGTCGTCCGTTTGGGTGACGATCTGGAACGTTTACTTATTCAAGGCCATGCAAAGCATAAGCCACTTTGTTTAATAAGAGAAACTCTTTTTGCAGAACTTTTCGGTTTGTTAATGAATTGATTGAGCTCCAGTATCTTCCCTCACTGCAGATGAATTGATTCGCCAAGTCACCGTGGAATGTCCAGAACGCGGATTGCTTCTTTTGAGGTACTCGTACGTATAATCGAAGAAATTATTGATTTGCTCTTAGAATTCGAGACGAGAGTAGGATGAATGTGGACGGGTACCGTGCAATCTATGAAGCTGGGGCTAGTCTTTCTACGCGTCTCTCCCAGACTGATGATTTAAAGGTGTGTTCTCTTATCTGTGATGCTCTGATGTGAAACCTGATTCAGGACAACATTGAACGGCTTCGAGAGCGCAAAAAAGAGCTGAAGGCGAGTGTAGATGGGTGGAAGCAAAGAATCAGCGTTTTGAACGATGTGATGATCTCCGAAAAGAAGTGTTCAGAAAACAGAAGAGAAAATGAAGTGGGTACGGATGTTAGATGAGGAAGCAATTGTCACCCTTTCAGATTAACTTCTTAAGTAATAAGCAACGTGCTGCTGAAACTGTTTTGAAGACATTTAAAGCCACGGAAAGAGACTTCTCCGCATGCCAAGTCGATATTTAGAAGTTTTACCGTGTGCTGATACCGCATTGTTAAACATCCAAAGCAAAATAAAAAGCAGGAAACCATAGAGGCAATGAATTCTAATTATAAAATGTCTGAGGGGGGGAGGGTGATGAGACTGTCACAGGAAACTGGCGCAACACCTCTCTTGAGGGAGAAAGAAGTGGTCGAATTGGGATGCTTGTTGGGGAAAGGTCAGTGGAGGCCCATCGACCATCACTCGGATAAGCATTCGTGCTGACGGCATTCGATGGGTCGAATGGAGATTGCTGAGATTGTTGACTGTAAAGGGGGGAGAACTGGTTCCTAAAGTGGGAAGAAATAGAATGAGGAATTGAATGAGAAAGGGAAGGAGCAGAGAAGGGCGGCAAATGAGAATTATTGGAGACCCGATTGAGAGAAAGAGCGCCACGTGAATAAGAGGCTGCTACTGGAGAAGCAATGTCATTAATTTCGCGTCGAGACGGAGAGTTCTTTGGTATTGAAATCTCAGATTGGGACAAATTCGTTGAAATCACGGCAGCCGGAAATTGTGTGATCAAGCCGGTGTCAGAATGAGATTGCGATGACGGCTGTTCCTTTTGTATTTCGGTTTTACATCGAGTTGACTTTCTTAACTTGGTGATTCCCAAAGATATTGGGACCGATGATGGAGGTGAGATATTCTCATTGGGAGGTTCTTGAGAAGTCTGCTGACGGGATTTCGTCGATTTTCGCTTCTTTCCAAGATCTTTGAGTTCACGAGAACGCGGGGAAATTTCTGGCTTCTCAGCGACGTCTGTTTTGGAGGCGCTTTTATTTCCACTTGAAGACGAAGACTTTCGAACTTTGGGGTTTGAGGGACGGACGTCCGCTGACTGCGATACCACTTCTGACGCTCTAATGAGCACCGAGGAGGAAGTTCCATGATGAACACTCTTGGGCGGCGGATTGATCGTCGGAGAAGGGCGCTGAGACTCTTGCGATGCCACGCTTGGTTTCGTCCGTGAAGATGCTGAAAGTGACGAAACACTCGAGAGCGACGTTCTTGGGAGAACAGGTTGATTTCTCGAAATGTTTGACGTAAACGTTGGTTGAGCGAAAGAAGGAGGCTGAGGGAGAACTGCGACAAGACGTAATGAAAACAGTGGTCAATGAAACAACATACCAATTTCAGATTGACGGGTAGAAGATTCCGTTATTTTGTTCTTCTGAGACATTTGTAACGGTTGATCTGGATGCCGTGTGCTAGGACCCATAATTGGTGAAACAACTGAAGCACTTGATGTAAGAGAAACTTCTGGAGCCTGAGAAGAGTTTTCCTGGAGGGAAGGCATGAGATGGATCAAAGATGACTACACGGTACCTTGACCACTTGAGTACTACGTTGAGATTTCTTGTGTGATGCTGAAATGCTGGGGCTTCTATTTTTCTTCTTATCGCTCGAAGTCCTTGTAGAATGTCGATCTCGTTTGTTATCCTGATTATCCTCCTTCGTGTGATCGTTTTCAGACACTCGATTTCGGTGAATTAAATCAGACTTTCTGTAAACTACATCATTAGGGGACTGCAGACTTCTGATCGTTTCCTTGTAATACTCGCGCAAACTCTCTAAATATGAAGTCATGCTTGTCAAATCCTTCCGAAGTTCCGCTAGATTCGTCGTCTCTAGAGCTCTTCGGTGTCTGATAAGTTTAAAATCTGTTTATCAATTCTCATTCGGAATAGAAAACATACTGTGCCGTGACTTCGCTCAGCTGAAGGTCAAACTCTTGCATTCTTTCCCACAATCCTTGTGCAATCAGTGCGGCATTACGCTGTCGATGCTCACCGCAGTGAGTGGCGCGATCTCGCCTTCTAGAACGAGAAGCTGAAGTGCTTCGCGGATGAGAGGACGACTGCGTGCGGCGGTTGACGTCGGAACGCACAGGTGTCAGAAGATCGTCAGTTTGTTTGTCGTTCGCCAAGAGAAGTGCAGCTGACTGCAAGGAATCAATAAGTCAAGAAGGTGAGAGTGCGCTCACCGTTGGGGAGAGATCGGTCGTGGTGAGAGCGTGTAGAAGATCCTGGCGCCATCGAGGAGAGAGAAGAAGCTCTCGAGCAGACCGAGGGCCAAGGACCTTTGAAAGAGCCGATAGAGTCTCCGGGATAAGAGCGGCGAGAGAACTGAAAACCCCGTCGTCTCTCGTGGATGATGGAAGAGGAGGAAGACTCTTCGTACTGATTGGTAGGCTGGAGGGATGATGATGAGAATCAGGAGGCGACTGGAAAAAGTCTGAAAAAGAAAATTAAAGATTTCGAAATAAAAGAAACCAACTGACGGGTAGACATATCGTGACGTGATTGGGACACCTGAAACAGAAGAGATATTGTTGAAGTGTTTGAATTATCACCTACAGGTCTTTGGCGTCGAGGGTTGGGTGGTCGAGATTCAGAAGAAGGATGCCGCGACGATGCACGATCCTGCCCGGTTGGTTGAAATGAAGACGATGAACGTCTTCTCAACTCCAGAGAACGCTCTTTAGAATTGTGCTGATGCAAGTCGCGGAATGAATCGCTGTAATCAAATTCATCCACCTGAATTGAAACAGTGACGAATTGCAAGATCTGTAATCCATACTTGATAGGGACTGCTGTTTTCAAAATTCTCATTAAAGCTGTTCTTCATTTCACTCCGATCAACGTTTTCCTTCATTTTCACAAGACTGATGTGATCACCTGTTGGACGTTCTACCCCTACCATCGCCGCCAATGCAAGGGCCATCTGTTGTCCGCATTTTTCCATAGCTGTTTCAAGCCTTGCAGCCCGAAGCTCTCGTTCTCTCAATGTGTCAGCAAGTCTGCGTGAAGACTTTCGCTCAGCCTCTATTAATTTTGCGGTTTCTCGCTGCATCGTTGCCAGACGCTGCTCTTCCTGAGCAATCGTTTTTCTCAGCAATGCCTCAACCTTGAAGTGCTCTTCTTGGGTCTCCTCCTAACAGATGAGTTGAAGACAAGAAGGGAAAAGAATGCCCTACCGATTTCTTACAAATATTCCGATATTCTACACGCAACGCCGCAATATCCTGTCTCTGTTGAATCACTCGAGCTTCAAGCCGTCGGCATCGTACACGCAAGGCATCATTGCTGTCCCAATCAGAGAAATGAGATGTTGCTGTAGAACGATCTGAATCAAGGAGCAATCTCCTTAACTGAAGAACGCAAGGAAACAGTCGTCATCAGCCCTTCAATCTTTGTCTCCTACCCGATCAGAATCTAATTCCGGATGAATTCCTCGAGCCAACTCCATTTGAGCATCAACATCGCGAATCTTTAAAGCCGCACTCAAATCTAGCATGTTCTCTTGCTTGGTCTCATTTGGAACATTTCCGCTCTCCATTTCTTCTGTTTCGTCTGGATAGCTTTCGAATAGTTCAATCGATTTATGGCCCGATATGTTTTCCCCATCTTCTTCGGCTGCCATCTTTTCACTTCCTGCTTGACGCTAGTGGAATCAGAAATTGGTTTCGTTGCTTAATTTCGTCCCCATTTCTATTCAGCTTCAAGTTCGCTCATGCCCCAACAAGAACAGGAACAGAAAAGTAGTCTCACAAAGGAGGTTGAATCCAATTATGGGGCATTATATCTGGATAGGAAACATTCCATACACAACTACAGAGGAAGAGCTGCGGTGGGATGCATTATGACGCATTTATCGAATGGTTTTATTCTCTTAGGGAAATTATGTCAACCGTTGCTCCTGTAGTCAGTCTGAGGTCTGTTATTGGAAATTCGACCTTTCAATGTTTTACTTTCAGGATTCGATACGATAAAGATACCGGACAGTCAAAGGGTTTCGCATTTTGTGAATATGAGGATGCTGAAAGCTGTTCCCTCGCTGTCAAGCACCTCCATGGAACTGTTGTTGGAGGTATTCATTGAAATAAAAAAATAGGTGATTTTAACTTCAGGTAGATCAATGAGACTCGATTTCTGCTCGAGCGAACAATCTAGAAGCTACTTTTTGGAGTCTCAACGGGCGTCAGAAGCGGTCGATTCCTACTCTTCGCGCCCTTTTCAAGTTCCTGATCGGGTTCGACCCGCGGAGTTCAATGGGTTTTCCTCCAAGCAAGTGCGTTTTTATCACATTAATTTAACTGAATTTGTTTCATTAGGCGTCTCTTCGTGTAGAAATTTCTCAAATCGTTCAGTCTCTCTCAGCTGCTCAATTATTCTACTTACTTGGTCATATGCAAAAATTCGTTCTAACATCTCCAGATATAGCGAGATCTGTCCTACGAGGTGAGACTGTTAGAGTCATTTTGTTTATCTCCATCTTCTATAGAAAATCCCTCTTTCTGTTACGCTCTACTCCATGCACAGTTCATCTGTGGGATGGTAGATGCGCCATTTTCAGTAAGATCGTTTCGCTGATGCCTTTTACTTTTTATTTCATCAGTCCGTTGATGATCCAGCCATTCTCGATCGAATATCGAATGATCGGTATCGTCAACAATTAGAAGATGCCAAACATCTCTATGAACGAGGCGGCGAATCATTGATGACGATGTCCCAAACGCTCACCGACTTCCCTCCCGAGCGAAGTGGTGATCGTTCACCGTATCGATTGTCGAAGGACTCTCAGCCCGAAGTATCCATCCCCATTCAACCCATTCCCTATCAGGGAACTCCAATCCAGCGAGGACCCAGCGAAGCGACTCAAGCACTGATTGAACAAATTCTGCAAGCTCCCGATATTTTACAACAAATTGTTACAGTCACTCCCGAGCAGGAAGCTGCTTGGACCGAACAAGAACGTTCTGAAATGACTTTCATACGAGCAGCATTGCGGGAACGAGGGATTCAGATTTAATAAAAAGTCTAGGAGAGATCTGTTGCACACCAGCTTGGCAGTTGTGTTTCGAAACTGAAACGGTTTTCCATTGAATACTTCCAAGCATGTAAAAAGATTCCTGAGGCATGAAAGTCTTCATTTGATGGATCTCTTGAATCGAGTTGAACATGAGGAACCCTTCTGAACCAATCAAGGTATCGAGGGACTGAAGGACCATAACAGGGATCATTAACGATTGGATGACCAAGGTATAAAAGTTGGGTCCTGAAATGTCAATCAATAGGAACAGACACTGAATTATTGTATACCGGAGTTGATGAGTTCGACCAGTTTTTGGTCTCAATATAACGAGGGATTCATCCGCTGCACCGTCATAACAAACAAATTCGAGTTCTGTTTCTACATCTTTTCCCTTTTTCGTATTCTCCTCATCAAATCTGTAGATTGCGGATTTTTGATCAACACCTGAACATACCAGAGAGTTCTATAAACATTCAGAGTTCTATACCGAAATCCTCTGTTGCTCTTACAATAAACTTCGCCACGAAGAACGCGTTTCAGCGCTTTTGATGTTCCTTCTGTTTGCTCGACGTGACCAGACAGTGCGAGGCGACAATCCCCAACCACACGGGCCACGTAAGTCTTAGAAACCCTCCCTTCCCGAAATGCGAGCTCGAAAGTTTTTCCTGCTTCTGATGAAATTCCCAATACAACGATTCCGCTAGTCAAGCGATCTAGTCTGTGAAGCGGTCGCAAGGAGCCACTGTCAATCGACGCTAAGCAGCAACAGTTCGAGGGCGGCAAAACTTCGACATTAGAGCTGGGAGGAGCTTTTGGCAGAAGTCTCCTCCCATGGCGCAAATCCTCAAGGAGAGCACCATTCAACGCACTAACCTTCTCTAAATCCATTCCTTCACATTCGTCGCAGATAATTCTCGACTTATGCTTAACAATTTCAATCAAGCTATTGAGTCGATAAGCTGCTCCAGGATGACAAGGAATTCCAACAGGCTTTTCCACAGCAATGATCGACATCGATTCCAAATGGGTGTGACTTCCCATTAAAATTCGTATCGGAAATTCTAGAACTGGCGGCTCAGAAATTGTCGCACGATGTTCAATTCTCTGATTGTTTTTCAGTATGAAGTCACTCGGAACGGTTTCACCATTGATTCGAATTGAACCACGTTCAATCGCACGTTGATAATAATCCCCATTGAAGGCCTTGAACTCGTTCTTCATCACCATCAAAAGTTCTTGTCCCAACCATCGCCGTTTCACAAAAGTCTCAAATAAATGGTCGTATGGTTTAACGAATCGTTGACCATCCCGAAACTCGTAGGGACTCGCCTCATTGCGACTTTCGGACAGAATTTTGCGCCGTTTCCGGTCACCCATGAACCGGACCTGGAAGCAGAGACTGTACATCAGGCTTACTAATCACGGATGGTTCGCAACGCACAACGATCTACACCAGGAAATGTTGGTCTCTACAATCCAGCGAATGAGGCGGATTCGTGTGGCGTCGGTAAGGATTTTTACGGGTGCAACGCTTCACGGCCTGCTTGGTTTTAGGGTGTATCGCCGACATTCAAGGTCGCGCTAGCCGAAAGGTCGTCAGCGACGCCAACAAACTTCTAGTTCGAATGACCCACAGAGGAGCCAAGCAGGGGGAAGATGGCGATGGTAAGGAAGCGTCACTCATAGACAATACAGAGTTCATCGTTTTTCTTTCTTCAGGTGCAGGTCGGTGTCTTGCGTGTCTTTTCTATTTTCATAGTTTCAATCAGGTTTGATGGTGGGAATGCCTCATCGATTTTTCAAGAAGATGTCCCAAACTGGACAGGTATAAGAGAAGCATTGACGACATTTGTCTAATTTCCCTCCCTCCAGCTACCATTCCTGACCCTTCCTCCATTGGGACGCTACGGGGTCGGACAAATTTTTCTACCTAACGGCCTGGAGAATGAAATCCAGCGTGTTGAACTCATGGACCGCGTTGAGGAAGTCGTTCGATCGTGTGGGCTGGCCGTTCTTGGATGGAGAATTCTCCCAACGAAGTCGTCAATACTTGGTGGGATTGATTTATTTTTTCACTTCATTTAAATCTTATTTCAGGACCAAATGGACGCGCAACAGAACCATACATTGTCCAGCTCTTCGTGTCAAGAGTCGCCGATTGTTGTGAAGAAGCAACAGGATTAACTCAAACAGATCATTCGAATATCTACGATGTCTACGATACTGCGGCCTCTTTGGCGCCTCTTGTTGAGAACTGTTACGACCCTGAATCAAGCTTCTCTGCCTTTGACTTGAGCGTTGATCAGATGATGGCGGACCAGCCTAGCGACGGCTGGCCTGCAGATCTGGAGAAGATTTTATTTCTCGCTCGACGAAAACTGTGCAGTTTGAGTGAAATGTACATATGCAGTTTCTCATCAAAAGTTGTTGTCTACAAGGGTCAACTTCAAAGCGAGCAGCTCTTCACATATTTCGATGATCTCATGGATGAAGATTTCACGTCGTATCTAGCAATCGTGCATTCCAGGTTATTTTTTTTTTCCTTACTGCTTGATTCACATAACGCTGAGATTTCCTTCTGTTTTACAGATTTTCAACGAACACTTTTCCCACATGGGATCGAGCTCATCCGTAAGTCATCAAATGCAGTTGAATTCTTAACTTCCTTTGCGCTTCCAGGTTCCGTCGCATCGCGCACAATGGAGAAATCAACACGATAGAAGGAAATAGAAAATGGCTAGCAGCACGAGAGGGGAACGCAGTAGTTCCGAGTGCTTTAGGAACAAAAATTGCCAAAGAGGATCTTCTTCCATTCGAGGAGCCTGCACATGTCACTCATTTCCATTCTCCCGCCCGTATTGGTCCAGCGAAAGAATCCCCCAAGCTCAGGCCCGTCGAGAGTACTAATCGCTTGATCGATACACTCGCAATTCCGACTGATATTGGATCCGCACGGAGAGGATCATTTTCATCGATTGATTCGCACGTTGAAGGACCAAGCGGTTTGGATCGGACTGAAACAATTGAGGAGGAGGAAGAAGAAGGTCCAGGATCCTCATCAGATTCATCAACTCTGGATGGCGTTATCGAATTGTTGATGATGGCTGGAAGAGATTTGGCTGAAGCTGTTATGCTCGTCACTCCTGAAGCAGCCCAGAAGGGAGACCCGAAATGGAAGACAGATTTCAACAGGTACAACTCTTGCTTGATGGAGCCTTGGGACGGTCCCGCCTTGATTGCCTTCACTGGTGAGTTTCTGAAACGAATTGGTCGCTCTAGATATTCTGTCGCAGATGGAATTCAAGTCGGAGCCCAACTGGACCGGAATGGATTAAGGCCGGGAAGGTATGCGATTCTGAAAGACGGGCGGCTGGTTCTGGCAAGTGAAGTTGGTGTTGTTGATATCGCGCCATCATTGGTGATCGAGAAAGGGGCGTTTATCTCCTGGGAGAATGTTGCTCGTTGACTTCCGAGAGAAACGCGTTGTCTCTGATGAAGAGATCAAACTGAGATACGCTCAACGTTATCCGTATGGAGAGTGGCTCTCTCGCTATTCCCTCCAACTGAATCAATTGGCGATAGTGATGACAGGTCAGCTGCCGAATGAAGAATCAAAACGTCTTTATGTTTGACTTGTTCCAGATGAAGAGCTTCGCCGTGAGCTTCAGCTTTCGGCCGAAGAGGCTTCTATCGCACTTCCACCCGCGTCAGTTCGCATTGGAACCCAGAAAAAGCACCGAAGGCATTCAGAGATCAATTTCCATAACGCAGAAGAATCACCTTCCGTTGCAGCAGGCGAAGAACTCGTTGACATGACGGCGCAACTGACCATGTTTGGATATTCCCTAGAGAGACTTGAATTGATACTCTCACCGATGGCAAAATATGCTTCAGAACCCCAAGGATCGATGGGTGATGACACTCCACTAACATGTTTATCTTCATTGCCAAGAACATTCACCGACTATTTCCAACAATCCTTTGCTCAAGGAACGAATCCTTCCATCGACCCCATTCGTGAAGGAAATGTCATGTCGCTCACATGTCCAATAGGGAAGCAGGGAGACATGTTTTCCATCACACATCATCACTCGAAGCGTATATTTCTCGATAATCCTGTAATCTCGCCAGCTCAGTTCAGAGCCTTGAACACTTTACCAGGATATCCATCCGTCTTGCTCGATTTGAGTTGGCCAAAATGTCGCGCTCCATTCGATCTTCTATCACAAATCGAAAAGCTACAGACGGACGCGGAGAAAGCCGTTCTTGATGGCCACCGACTTCTAATTCTCTCAGATCGTCGAGCAGGTGCAAGCCGCTATCCCTTGTGGTCGTCTTTAGCAGTCGGGGCTGTACATCTCCATCTTGTACGAAAACGGTTGCGCATGAATTGTGGAATTGTAGTAGAAACCGGCGAAGCTTGCGAAGTGAATCAGCTTGCGTTCTGTAAGGCAGATGTGTTCTCAATTATTCCTATTGTTGTATCTTTCATCTCAGTGTTGACTTGTGGAGGTGACGCTGTCTATCCATATGTAAGTGTTCAAATCACCACGTGGTTGCTACTGCCTTCTCTTTAGCTTGCATATAAAGCTCTTTCAAACGTTCGGTTTCTTCCTGATGAATGTCCTCTTCCCCTCGATCGTCTAATTGAAAATTATTTGTCTGCGGTGAGAATCGGTTTATTGAGAATTATGTCGAAGATGGGAGTTTGCACGATGCTCAGCTATAAGGTGAGACCATTTCGGTAGAATGGGATGATCGCATTCATTCGTCAGGGAGGATGTTTTTTCCAGCCTCTTGGTGTCGATCGATCTGTTCTCCAGCTCTGTTTCAATGATGCTGTTTCTTCTGTTATCGGTGGTGTTGGTTTCGATATTCTGCGGGATGATATTCTCAGGTGAGACAAAGCAGGGCAACAAGCAAGATGGCTCTTTCTTTAGGTTCCACTGCGCTGCGTATCCTGAGCATCCTGTTCCTGGACTCGTTGATAGAATGCCACCGAGGCATCTGATTGACAACGGAGAGTATCAATTCGTATCAATCCCTGGATCTGAATTGCACGCAAACCATCCAGACACAATCAGATACTTACAAGCTGCCGTCAGGGAGAATAATTTCAAAACCTTTCGTCAGTATTCTGACATTCAAAATGCTCTCATTGATGAAATTGAACTTCGTGGTCAATTGGAATTCATTTATGGAAGCCAGAGAGTGGTCGCGCTGAAAGAGGTTGAACCAGCAAAGGAGATTGTAAAGAGGCTCGTTACAGGCGCGATGTCGTTTGGATCCATCAGCGAGGAAGCGTTTACAACAATTGCCAAAGCAATGAATGCGTTAGACAGCCGCAGTAACGCCGGTGAAGGCGGGGACGTCGATGAGGGATCTGATCCGTCTGCGAGAAACAGAACAAAACAGATAGCAAGTGGTCGTTTTGGGGTCAGCTCTTTCTTTTTGTCCGATTGCGATGAGCTCCAGATTAAATGTGGCCAAGGGGCGACGCCTGGGGAAGGCGGTGAATTGCCAGGTGAGGCTCCGCTTTTGCTGAACAGAACCTCAGAGGGGGTTTTTGTCGCTTCAGGGTATAAAGTTATAGGGAAAGTCCCAGCTATCCGTAAAAGTAAGCTAGGGTTTCATTACCATATTGCTAAACGATCGTTTTTTCAGGTACGGCCCGGGCGTCTCGTTAATCTCTCCACCACCGCATCATGACATGTATTCGATCGAGGATGGTGAGTTCAAGACCACCTTAGTTGTTCTTATCTGGTGCTGCAGTTGCTCAGTTGATTATGGATCTGAAGCATGGGAACCCTCGGGCGCGTATATCGATCAAGCTCGTTGCGAAGCTTGGAGTTGGCGTTTATTGCTGCCGGTTGCGTGAAGGCCAAGTGCGATCATTTATTAATCTCTGGCGCATCTGGAGGTAAAAGGGCGCCCTTGCGCGACCTCATGCTTAAACCCTTCTTTTATCAGGCACTGCATCTAGCAAGCTAATGAAGCGTGCAGGTAACTTGCCATAACTCCAAAGTCACGACTTCCCATTCCACTGTTTTCTTTAGGGTTTCCATGGGAGATTGGTCTTGCTGGTAGGCTAACCGGATTGCTTCAGAAGTCTGATTTGTGATGCATCATACTGCAGAAACTCATCAAACTCTATGTCTTAACGGTCTGAGGGATAAGGCAGTTCTTCAAGTCGACGGACAGCTTAAGACGGGGAGAGATGTTGTTTTTGCCGCCCTTCTTGGTGCTGAGGAATTCGGATTCGCAACTCAACCACTGATTGCGATGGGGTGCCAAATGGCCCGGAAGTGCCACTTGAATGCTTGCCCAACAGGCATCGCGACACAAGACCCACAGTTGAGAAAGCGGTTTGCGGGAAAGCCTGAACAGATCGTTGCCTACTTTTTCATGGTTGCGGAAGAGGTAAGAGAGCGAGCGAGTCAGCCACTGATCCACGATGCGCTCCTTGCAGATTCGCGCTTTTATGGCCCGACTTGGATTCCGTAAATTCAACGATATGATTGGCAGATCGGATCTGCTCCGTCCGAAGAATACCTTATCTGGACACTGGAAGCGGCGTTCACTCGATTTCAGACAACTTCTGGTCCCTGGATGGAAACTTTGTACCCCATTAGATAAATGGCGCTTGGGTTAGCGCCACTCCTGAACCACGCCCAATGTTTTGCTGCTCGGCACAGGATCACGAAATAGACAAGGTTCTTGACAGGTGAGCCTCCCACAGCCCGACTAGAGCACTCACTCTTGCCTTTTCAGAGAAATTATCAGACGCGCTCGTCGGTCGCTCGAGAATCAAATTGGCACGGTGTCTCAGTTCCCAATTCGTAATGTCGATCGAACTGTTGGAGGTCTTCTGTCTTACGAGGTTTCAAAGCGGTATGGGGCTAGGGGTCTTCCCTCGAATACGATCACGGTGAACTTCCGAGGATCAGCTGGGCAAAGTTTCGGATGTTGGCTTGCTCCTGGAATCACATTCGGTTTATCGGGGAGATTGCAACGATTTCGTTGGGAAAGGCCTCAGTGGGGGAACGCTTGTCGTCAAGCCGCCCGCGGACTCCCCATTTTTCTCCGACTCTGATAAAAACATCCTTGTTGGCAACGCAGCTCTTTATGGAGCGACAAATGGAAGGGCATTTTTCGCTGGAGTCGCAGGAGAACGATTTGCAGTTCGTAACAGCGGAGTAACGACGGTCGTTGAAGGATGTGGTGACTATGGATGCGAATACATGACGAGGTACGTTTAAGTCGGCGTAGCGCTCAATTCGTATGGATGTTCTCTCAAGGGGAATTGTCGTAATTCTTGGAAAAACAGGGAGGCATTTTGGAGCTGGAATGAGTGGAGGTGAGCACTAGTTCCAATTCCTGAAGCTGAGAGACTTTGAATGATATCTTAGGTATCGCGTATGTATTGGATTTGGATCCGAAGAACGTCAATGAACAAATAATCCATTTGGAGCCAGTGACGGCAGATCTGGCGGATAAAACTAAGCTCGAACGACAGAACAGCAATGCCGAAGTAGCGGAATCAATGACACGAAAAGATGCAAAAGTTCTGGAAGGGCTTCTACTTGAGCATTTCGAGAGAACTAAATCGAGCGTAGCACGGGACATTCTATCAAAGTTGCCTGAATATTTACCAAGGTGGAGATCCCCGACTTGCATTTTTGTTGTCAAGCCTTTTCTCTCATCTAGGTTTACGAAAGTCTTTCCCGAAGACATGAAACGTGTGCTCAAACAAGCAATAACGGATTACGTGACCAAAGGCTCAAAAGACGCGGTTGCCATCTTGGATGATTGGGATCGGATGATATCCCATAAGCATGAAGGTGAACAGAATTGAAGATGCCACTATTATTGTTGTTCCCAGGGTATCACCTCCAATCTCTTCCCTACACTCTTTCGGAATACGCTGATAAATTTGAGCACCGCAGGAAGCAATTGAAGTAGGGACCTCGCCTCTTTATCCCTACCAATTTCTTTGTATTGTTTAGGCGTCTGAGGGTCCTTGATGTCAGTGAGAGTGCGCTCAAGGTTCTTGGTCATGGAGAAGAGCCGAGTGCTCTCTTCCAATATGCAGCAGATTTAGAAAGAACTGGAAGGCTTGATGATCTTCTTTCCGATGAATGTTCAGAGCAATTGAATGAATTGATGCGGATGGCGCGATTCGTTTACGCCCACGTAAGCCTGAAATGCGTTTTAATTTGGTCTGAATTTTTTGCAATTTTTTAGTGGCGCTCCGGTTACAGCAAGGGATTAAGGAGACAAGATACTGACCTTGTGAAGCGCTTGCTGCCGCCTTCGTTGACCCCGTCGCGCCGAAGTGTTTTGAAGCATTTTCTCTTGGAGGTAAGGAAACTCTTGTCGCGAGGATCGCAGGCCTTTCTTTCAGGAAAAGCGTCAATTGAAAGCCCATTTAAAGGCGCTTGAGGGCTGCGAGTTAGCCGATCAATTGCTTCTTTCATTCAAGCCAAATGCAGAATCCGCACCTCCACGTGTTCTTTCTCCAATGACGGGTGAACAGGTAAGACAGAAATCACAAGACCCTTCTTCATTCTTTCCCTTTTTCAGCAATGGGAGAAGTTCTTCTTCGGCGAACGAAGCCCACCTCAGGAGGACTCCCAAGGCACGCGATACCTTAGAAGTCGCGAGTGTATCAGATTTGGAAACCTTGACATCATCGAATCTCGAGAGTCCAGTAAAGAAATCACCACGACTCAGTCACTTCCGTAAAAGAGATGATTTGAATAGACCACTCGAAGAAAACAAACCATCAGTACAGCAGCAGGACTTCACGACCAAACAACACCACCAGAAGCCTTTTTTGGTTCAATCTCCGGATTCCCTGATGGGCTTTACGCTGTATGCAAAACAGAAGACTGCAGTGAAGTCAGCAGCGAACAGGGTGCTCGACTGGTATGTGCATGACTCTACCTTGACAGATCAACACCATCTTCATATCTTAGGGAGGAAATTGCTTTACCAGTTCAGAGTCGATCAAGACTTTACGACGCCTTGCAAAAGACTCAAGCTGCTCGGTGTTTGGGTTGCGGCGTCCCCACATGCAATTACCCGAATGTAAAGGGTGGCGGATGCCCCCTTGGGAACCGCATTCCCGCCTGGAACGCTCTTGTCGTTGAAGGACAGTGGAAGCTTGCTCTAGAGCGTCTCCTCGATACGAACAATTTCCCTGAGTTTACAGGTCTGTGATGATGCTGTGGGAAATGTCCAGTCCCTTGTTTCAGGTCGCGTGTGTCCGGCTCCATGCGAAGATGCGTGTGCTTTGGTGCCTCAAGATGATTCAGTTGCAATCAAATCGATCGAGCTGGCGATTGTTGAGAAAGGGTTCCAGGAAGGATGGATCAAAACCGTTTCCCCCGAAAATGCGGTCACAGTTTACTGTCGCAGTAATAGGCAGTGGGCCAAGCGGGCTGGCAGCAGCTCATATGTTGAATCGGGTGGGGCACATGGTGACAGTGTTTGAGAAGTCGGATCGAGCTGGAGGGCTTTTAACTTACGGGATTCCTAACATGCGAATCGACAAGAGAAAAGTTGTTCAGCGTCGAATTGAATTACTGGAAGCCGAAGGTGTTCAGTTTAAGTGCAACACGAGCATTGGCAGAGACATTCAACTCTCACAACTATTGAAAGACTTCAGGCGCGGTGTTAGTGGCGGTTGGAACTCAGAAACAAGCTGATGTGAAGATTCCAGGAAGAGAACTTGAAGGGATTGTACAGGGAATGGAATTTCTAACAAGAAACCAAAAAGGCCTCTTCAATTCTGACCTGGATGTAAGAGATGCACTTGTTTTCAGTCGAGTGATTGACTCTCTGGTCTACAGAATGATGAGGTCATCGATGCCGTTGGAAAACGTGTTGTCGTGATCGGAACGGGGAAGCTTGCTACGGATTGCGTGGCCACTGCAGTACGAATGGGTTGCAGCGAAGTGATTCAGCTTGTAGAAGTTGCAAAACAAACAGCGATTCAAGGAAAGGTCGCGGAAAACGCGAAAGTGTTTAAGGTCGAATATGGTCACGAAGAGGCCATTGTGATGCAGGGAGTGGAGCCTCGGGAGTTCGGTGTAAGGTGGGAAAATGGCAGGATAGCGGCTGTTCACTTTCCTGTTCTTTAGACCGATTGAATTTGTGCCTGCGCGCGCTGGATCAACCAATGTTGGCGGCGTTAAGGCTATTCGCGTCCACCCAACTTACACAATTCCAATGCGTATCACTGGAACGGACGAGCCTCCTGTAGAGGTCGTGACTAACAAGTCGTCTTTGGTTGACATCAAGGGGACGGAAAGAACGTACCCTGCTGATTTGGTTTCTACTGGCGCTTAATGGAGCGACGGTGGAAGAGGACTGGAATGCCGATAGCTCGATGGAATTGAAGATTGATGGTTTGGTTCGAGCTGGGACATCTCTTGAGGCTGGATTCAAAGGGGTGTTTGCTTGCGGTGATTGTAGAACGTATGTCGAATAGTTGAACCTCGTTACCTGTATTGCTGCTATTCTTAGGGGACCGTCTCTGGTGGTTTCCGCAATGGCAGAAGGACGGGATGCGGCTATAGCAATCGACAACTATCTCAAATCTATAGCTCGGGAGGAGTCGAAGAATGCAAAAGCGTCTCGAGCTTTGTTGATTAGAGCGTCCGTCCCATCTCTTGTAGAACCTGCCAATTGGAGAAGTTTGTACAAATTTTTCTTTTAGAATATCCGTTTTTTTAATGTTGTATATTGTTTTTCTTGTTCTAGTCACTGTCCATTTTGTTAGGGTTCACGAGGGTTAACATGTACAGGACGACAAAACACAGTAGAGCAGGCTAACACACAAGTCGCACGACCTACGCGACTAGACACTTTTTAGCAGGCGCGAGAACGGTTCCTACTGTCAATTTATTGTTCCATGTAGCATAAAAAATTGTCTCTGTAATGATAGGAACCATTAAGAGACTGGACAGCAGCCGCAAACGAGGCTTCAACACCCTCAGATTCTTTTTTCTTGTTCTAGTAGGGTGTAGCATAAAAAATTGTCTCTGTAATGATAGAACCATTAAGAGACTGGACAGCAGCCGCAAACGAGGCTTCAACACCCTCAGATTCTTTTTTCTTGTTCTAGTAGGGTGTAGCATAAAAAATTGTCTCTGTAATGATAGAACCATTAAGAGACTGGACAGCAGCCGCAAACGAGGCTTCAACACCCTCAGATTCTACTGCATGAATCAAAGTGTCAATTTTGGTTCTCAAACAAAAAGGGATCTCTTCTTGTTGCCGGAGAAATGAGGAGATGGTCAGTACTGTTCGAACCAAAAGTGCTTGTAGAGTACTTGCAACAGCAGATGATCTTGTCCACGTGCTCCATCGATGAAGCGCTTTCAAGACAAATATCCGCGCACATCTCGAGTTGCCTGCATAATTCGTTCCACCCTGCTCGTCACTGCGGAAAACGCTAACGTCGCCTCTCTTGATGTAGGACTCGTCCCAATAGCTGAACAAAATACGCGTCCTCATTGAAAATGTTTGGAAGCTTCCTGTTCAAACACTCTCACTTCGACTTCTTGGTTCTTCCGAAGCGTGCGGTGTTCGAAACTCAGACATCAATTCTCCAAGGTTTGACGCAATGCTGAATCCGCGCTTCGACCTGTGACGATTTCTAGAAGCCATTCACCCACTTGCGATGGGAAGGCCTCGACAACGTAATGAGTTGCCCACTGGAGAGCGATATTCGGCAGCAGGCTTGAACAGCACTCGGAATCGCTCTGGAATCGCCTTCCCATCTCGTTAACCACTGGGCATATCTTTCATCTGCTTAAGTGCGCTGCAGATCACACTCTTGCGGTGCCTTCCTGAATTTCGGGGGTCTCGTCCTGAGAAATAGTTGATACAGCAGCGAATCCTATTTCACGAAGCTCACCATAACCAAAATGATAGCCCTTTTCCACAACTCAAATTCCTTCAAGTGAATTCCACAAATTTGAAAGGGCACGAAGAGCACTAAATCGCACATTAACATCTGAAGCTGGTGTTGCTGCAGTTCTGAAAGCTTCGAGACAATCGGCATCCAGGACGCTTGACGCCAGAATACTCTGGATTCGCGCCCCCAACAAAAACAGTGGTTCGCAAAACGCGTGGATTGCTTGGCGCGTGCAAAGCGCGCTGATTTGATCGAACGACGAAGAATTGTTAAGATTGAAGGATTGAGAGAAGGGGAGGTCTGTGGGGAGGCTAAAGCAACTAAAAGTTTTGACCCTCTAATCAGGAAATCAATCAGAGCAGTGGTGAAACTGAGCCGCCAAGAACGGATGCAAGAGATTGTTGAGGGGGAAGACGCAACCATTGTCACAAACAGAAGAGAGAAACTGTTGAAGAATGACGATGAGAGCACCAACGTCATTCGCGAAATCTCAGAACGAAGGTCTTCCGGGGAAGTATAGGGATAAACTGGAAGGCGGACTGGAGTATCGGGATCAGTTGATAACAGCTGCATGAGTTTAGAAGTGATCCGCAGTGCTTCGGTGATCGCTGATGAAAAGGAATGTTGAGCGTTCTGCTCTTCACAATTGGGGCGTCAACAGAGCTGAAGTGATGGCTGGAGCCAATCAGAGGTCTGAAAGCAACAGAAGAACGGACTGCGGAGACCTCGACGGGAATGTGGCAGGGGAGTCGTTCCCACGAAGAATGAAGAAAGGGGGTTAAATCTGGTGTTGTTAAAAATCTGTCTTGCCGGTGACCAATAGACGTTGGCGGCAGTTGATGAGGAAGTTGTGAAATTGAAAACATTTTTTGCCCATTCGCAAAGCCCACCGTCGATGGTTCTCCGATTGGGGGCTTGAATGAGATAAACCAACGATAAGTCGCTCACTAATTTGAAGAACAGTAGCAGTGCAAAGCGGAGCTGGGCGAAAATATGAATAAATATCTTTCATTTTGTTGAGAATTCTTGCCACGTCGTTTCTGTCGAAAGGCATGGCTCTGCAAAGATACTCAGAAATCAACGAACGGCAAGCTGAAGGTCGAGAAACAAACTCCAAAATTGCTGCTAGGCTTCCGTGAAGAGAATTAATTATGAATCGCAGTGTTGGTTATGGACAGTTCGAGTGAACGCTCGTTGAAAACCCTCATTGAAGAGTTTCATGAGAACAGTAGACATTGAATCAGCAGACGCTTTTGAATGCAATAGTGTAGTCCACGGTCGTGCGAGCAGCCATAATACGGCGCATGATATCCTGCTTGAAGTATACAAACAATTCGATATCTTTTCTGAGAGAAGGTCAATATCATGCTGTAAATCTTCTTTGGTTAGGGCCCGCTCAAGTTTAACACGAGACAGAAAACAGCAGAAGCGCTACAGTGACAGCTTCATCCGTTGGATCAGATGTCTCTCCTCCCCATCAAGCGTGCTGAGATCAAATGAATCAAAGGAGAATGAAACCGCAACAAATCAGCGAGAGGGCGTGCTTTGCGTGATTGAAGTTCGCGATGCATTCCATTGGTACAAAACAAAAAAACTCTTCGCGTCTCCAAAATCGATATCTGTTGAATCTGTGCTCTGCTTGCTTTCCGGCTCTTCACCCAACAAGTCCCAATTGCCTCCAGTAGCAGTGCGATCGAGCGTTGCGGCGAACAGAAGATTCGCTGCGTTTCGAACGGCCCACTTTTTATGGGAGAGGAACTTCACCGCTTCGCCCAGAATGTGTCCCAAATACTTTGCGCAGGGCAGAGCCAGCGTGGTCGATCTCACCACACATCGCATCACATTTAAGGCATGAACGAAGCAGGAGAAGGGCTCTGAATCCAAGAGAGAATAAAGAATGCAGGGATCAAGAATCCGAAGTCTCACCATCGTTAATATCAGCGACGCTTGTGATTCCGCTATCTGCTAGTAAGCCAAGAAGAAACTCCATTGTTTCGGGGAAACAAGTCAGTTGTGAGGTATTTGGTTGAGTCGGCAGTATTAATCGAAAGAAAGGCCAATCCCAGACTGTATGAGCGTCTCAATGGAGGAGGAAGAGAAAGCTTTGACACTTCATTAATATCGAGTGATTGATTAACGCCGCTGTCTAAAGGCTGGCGTCCGTCAACCAAATTGAAACAGTTTCGTCAACCAAACAGATGGAAGCTGGCGATAGAATATGCTTTCCAGAGAGCAGCAAGCGCTTGTTGAGGGAGATTGTTGCATTGAAGAGTTTGTCCATTGCAGCAGGATGCTTTATGCCAAGCAGCAATAGAAGCTGACGATGCTCTAAAACGTCGAAAAACTGCACCCCCAAGGTTGGCGAAGAAGACCCTTCATAGTCAACGAGCAGATCAATATCGAGCCAATCAAATAATCGCTTCAAACATTCTGCCCCCCCTCTTTTACGGTCAACCAGCTTCCAAGG